AAAACATGGAAACTTTTAGGGCCTAGTCGTTAAAGGTTTAAAACCTCAGCTTGTAAAATGCAGAATATTTCTTAGATAAGCACTCAAGAAAGCTGGTATTACTTAATGCAATAAAACTGAAATTAAAAGAGCCTTGATACCGAAAAACGTAGACAGTACAAAAGTGACATATGCCATGGGATAAATAGTACTAACCTAAGCCTCGATAAATAGTACCAAGTGAAAGGAGAGCGCTTTAGCCTGAGAACAACCTTTCCGATCAGGTTTAGTCGAAAAAAGTAGATATAATCCAGTTTTTAGCTTTAGACCAAAACGATAATTTATTTCATAGAAATTACCTTCTTTGTAATATTCGTGTTTGGGCTTTGACATAGAAGAGAAAGTAATCTTACCGTTGTCGGCGTTAGATCCAATGAATTGTTCAAAGCGTGCTTTACTTTTCATGCCTCATGTTAGTTATATTGTGATGCTGTCCGCATTTGTGTTCAACCTGTGAAGGGCATGTATGAGATCGCTGTATACGTTACACCTAGGAGCTCAAATAATCGAGCACCTTTTTGAATTTCGAGAAGCCTCGTTTAGATCTTGTTTTCGTTTCTAGACAATGGCAAACACTCAAAAATAACATGACCCGGGTTGTACCAGTAGAGTTGGCGAGTATCTTGAAATGACACAGGTCTTGCAATGTGGCTCTGTTGTTTGAACTGGGAATTTCTGAAGTTGCATTATTGCCATTAATTTATTGAATATATTAGCCATGAAAGATGATTTCGAACTGTTAAATGCTTTACTGTTTCAATGGCAAGGTGTTGTAAGTTATTTTATGAGGCTTGGTTGTTTTTTTAATCCAATGTTTGTCAAAAGTTGATTGATTATCGTTTTTCTCATTGGCCTTTTATGATTCCTGATAATCTAGCTATTACCTTTCCTATTACAAAACATTAAGATAAAAGGACGATAATTAAACTCTGATAAAATGAATGTCTTTATTAAAATAATTCGCTAAGATTTGTACACATACGGAGCAATCCTTGCTAGTTGATTTATCATTGTCCAGCTTCATTAAAAGGTATTTTGAAATGTTTTCTAATCGAAGTTGTTCCAATGTTACTCCAAATACTTACTATTCGTTCATTCTTTGATAGTACAACCATTGATAAGAATTCTAGATTGCTCTTAATTAGAAATGTTTGATTAACGTTTAAATATTTGCTTTTTAAATTCATTAGCTTGTTTATTCAAATCATTAAGTGACAGCCAGATTGTATTGTAGAAAAATGTGGTTAATGTAAATGTTGAAAAGCAACAGGCCTGAGATTACTTAACTTAACTCGACTTGACTTGACTTGACTTGACTTGACTTACTTTAACTTAACTTACTTAACAGCTGTGGATCTAAATTCTCAATAGGCAAGCGACACTGATTGGGCAACCTCAACAGTCTTGTCCTCGCGGTTCTGATAGGCCTATTTCGACCCACAACTCGGTGTATATATTGCCTAGCGTAGAGTTTTCTATCTATGTTCTGACGTTTTATACTCTAAAGAGTGTCAGACGGAAAGCTTTAGTTTACACAAATATTTGCTATTTTCAAAGCCATTTTTAGGTTTTTTACCACTAAAAGATTATGGAATCCTAAATTAAAGGCAACTAAATTAGACTTAAATTAGATGGTATCAGCAGAATTGAAAATATCATAAACTTAATAAGTATCAACAAGACTGAGATTGAAAAAAACATTGAGGAATAAACAAGGAACAAAGAAGATTAATATTTTCTCAAAAATAAAACTCTTGCGAATATTCTAAGATCAGGAAGTCCGAATTATCTAAATTCACAGTTGCGAAAAATATGTAGCAGAATGTGAGAGCATCCAGAAATGAACAATGAATAAATCGGTAATAGAACAACACTAGAAGTTTCGAAAAATCCAGATATGAATGATGAAAAACGCATTTCACACTCACAAAACCAGCATATGCTGGGTGGAATTTCTTCAGGTTCCTCTGATCTTTTCAACTCATCATCTGCCTTGCTTTAATCGATTCACTTTTTAGTGATTCTAGTCTTGAAAGGCGTTCCGTATTTTACCACCAACAACCCTGTCCTGTTTAGTTCTTTTTCCATGTTTTCTTCTTGACATCTGATTTGAGGTGTGGCACTGTGATTTTCAGACTTCGGTTATCTTTCATAGCTCTGTTTATTGTTGCTTTAGCATGAATATTTCCTGACCATGCACGCTGTGCTACCTGAAATTACAACATGCCTCTCTAAAAACCGATCCCAAACATGTAAAGATGCTCAAACAACGATTTGAAAAGGCTCAAACAACGATCTGCCTTTATTTTAGCAAAGTTTCTAAATCACAGATATTAATCAAAACGTTTGTCTTTAAGAGTATTACACTCAATAACTTCTTCACTCACTCCGTTTGCGATATCCCACGAAAGTGTAACTTTTGCCTTCTTCTCTGCCTCCTAGTAGACAAAAATTAATTCTGGTTTTCGATAAATATTAAATAATTTAATCAGATTTTTAATAGAAAGGTTTGTCTTCTTTATGGAAGAGCATCACCTAAAAATATTGTCAGTCGAAGCGAAACACTTATCCATCTGTAAACAAATTATCCAAGGCTAAACCTAAAAATTGATATAGTTCCTAGTGTCTTTTTGAATGTACCAGACTTTTATTGATGAAAACATTGCATGGGAAGGAAAAGAAAAACAAAAAGTGAAAAATATAAAATTTGATAGGCATGATTTAAGAGCATATTACTGTTTTTTTCTATAAAATCTCAAAAGTTGTAAAAACTACAAATATCAAACATAAAATATGACAAGCTTAGATACACTAACAGAAAGCAAATATGAAAACTACAGCTAAGAAAAGATAAATTACATAAAGCACACAGCATGACTCAGTAATATTGCTGCATTCCATCCATTTAGCTGTTTGGATCACAAGAAAATTATGGGTCAAGGTGGTATTTGCATCCTATCTCACAATACAATGCTCCTAACACGGTATTGGAAATTTTTGGATAAGCAAAGGCATAAGCGAATGAGTGATGCTACCTCAGAGCCGTCTATGACAAGTCCAAATCCGCCATCTAAAATCTGGTCCCTAAAAAATGTAGTGAGATTTGTTGACAATTCAATGTTAGTAAAAAACCTGAAACATTATCTTCAACAAAAAAATTAAGCGTTGACTAGAAAAGCAGCACATAGAAATGGGAACATTACTCGTTACAAATAGGGTTTCACAAATTCTCTAGTTTAAAGAGTTCCATTCAAAGGATGTGTTGTAAGACTGTTAAGATCAAGAGCTCGTTGGTAATTGAATGTAAGCACGTGTGCCTTAAAAGTAACACGAGGCATCGTGCATATTTCTCTGATCTTTCCACTTGTAAAATATACCTTTAAATAGAGTTGTAATCTAAAGAAAGAGAAAAGAAAAAGAGAAGATGTCAGTGTAGAAGTCAAAGGGCACATGTGGCGGCCTTTGAGCTTGCCGTGTCCTGGGCACTGCAGTGAAGATTTCTACAATAAATAAAAAAAACCAAAGAAACAACAAGAAAGTGTATTCTCTCTGGCTCATCTCTGTTATGTTGTCTTCCATCCACAACCGTATGGTTGTTAGGAATCCACGACCACGAATATTCCGCAACGAAGCATCAAGATACAACCATTATCTCTACCAATCAACGAACAAACCTCAACCAAATTCCTCGCAAGTTAAAAGTAGTACAACTTATGACAAATGGAAAGGTTTTGCAGGAAATATTTTCTTCAGTATAGTTAAAGGTTCACTGTTGCATGTGCTTTGCAGTAGCCTCTAATTATTGCTTGAAAACAGTCCTCTTGACTCTTAGGTTGGAGAAAAACTCAAAGGAAGGTCCAGTCAATGTTAGCGGACCTAGGGCAATAAATATACGAGTTTAACACAAAGTATTGACGTGAAATGCAAAAAGGATGATGCATCACATTAAACAAACTGACTTATACAAATGTTACGATCAACTCACAGTCCGACATTTTGTGCATTGTTAACGGAAATCCAAGTTGCACCCCGGAAGCTGTCACCAAGGCAACTCTGAATTGCTAAATCTAAATGGAAATAATGAAATCTTGAAAAGAAAAAAAACGAGTGGTTTCATGCTAAAGCCAATGTATTTTGCTTGTTTTTTTCATTGATTATAAAGCAACAAACCCTCTGAAAATTGACAGAACCCAAATAACGCGTTACTGCATTTGACAGACTACAGCTTGAATCGGCTACTGTTTATTTTGTTTTACAGGTCTAAAACCATTCAAATAAAAATTAACCACCCAAATCTGAGTTCGTTAATGCTCAATAATTAGTATTAATTTTAATATTGGGACCCCTTGTAAGCAATAGTTTTTTTAAATGAGGAAAAGAACAAAGTTTATTCATAATGGCTACCTGAATGCAGCCTTCCATCATCAGCTTTGTTCTCGCTTGCTTTGAGAGCATTTCCAATAGCCTTAGCATCGTGGTAGTCACGGCTTAAAACAACTGGACCCTTAATTAAATCAAAATAACAGTTCAGTACTGTATCCTATATAGCCACTGTACAAGCACTATAAAATGCATTTCCTATAGGCTTTCCCTATACATTTAGGCCCATCATTGACAGGTTTGTGTACTTTATGCCCATTTTTCAGGCAGATATCAGGAACTTAAAGAGTCTTCATTGCAAGGGAGCATCTATAGACCCTACTTCCTAGTTGGAGTGGGGGTGCAGATTGGTTGTTGTAGGGAAGGGTGAGGGACAGGGGGGAGAGGAATTTTTGTAAATATAATCAAAACTCTCTGATACATGATTTGGAATAGGGGGCACTTCTCTTGTGACGACACAAAAGACACTAGCGGGTTACACAACTCCCCCTTGTATAATAACAGTTCAGCCTGTATTACGTCACATGTAGAAGTGACGGCTCAATGGCGTAAGAGAAGTAACAATGACATAAGTAGCAATGACGGTAGTGAAAACAAAGGTTACCTTGAAAATCTACTTATGTTGAACCTAAATCCTATTTTTGAAGGTGTATGTTTGACCTACTTGACTTAATCGTACGTCGAAAGTCACAAGAAAATTTCTGCAAGTCCTTTACGATTAGAGTTAAGCTAAGTTCAAAACAAAGACTTTAAGATCCAAACATCAAAATACCGTTACTGCTATAAACAGTCTTGACAAAATGTTGTAAAATCCAACTGTTTTATTAAGAAATGCTCATACGAATAAGAAGCACACTGACAATGTTGGGCGTTAACTAGTTAGTTATTTAGTTATCGATGCAAAAAATGGTTAAAATTTGTCACAAAAAAAGACTGCATGTTTAAGAAGATACATTCAAATCTTCTATCCAAGGTAAGATGCAACAAAGGAATCTATTTGCATGACGTTTGATGGGATTCTAGAGAGGAGAGTTTTAGAATTTTTATCATAAAAACGTTTTCGTTGTCTTTACAGACTGATAGGTGTTTCAATCATATCGCCATCACAGACTGGTGCATTCTAATTCACCAGCTTCACAAAGACTATTTGGCTAATCAACTTCCCAACGATTCACGAATCATCTTACCTTAATGACGTCATTGTTTATTGCCTTGTTAAAAGCAAGTGCAATCGCTACTCTCCCCCTAACATCAGTGTAAAGCATCCTGGACATAGTTCCATAGTTCTACATTAAAAGGAAGACAAAATTAGTATTTCTCAATGCAATGAGAAATTACATTTAAATAGGATTGATGTTGAAGAACTGAATATTCTCAAACCGACAAAAAATTCAATTAAAAATCCAGGGACTCTATCAATTTGATTTCAGCACAAAATTCCCATTAAATTGCAGTCAGCAATAATGACATCTTTTCATCAACTGACCTTTAGCCAGTTTTTTTGCATTTTATCTGATAACAACAGAATTTGCAACAGGATTAATATTACCAATCGCAGCTAGCTGTGAAAGTATGTTTTTTCCCTTTCACTTTATCGCATTTCTTTTCCTTTGTTGATTAAAGTACCAGGCAATTATGGATGACTGCAAAGGCGTACCATAAAATACTTGATAAGCAAACTTTGACTAATAAATATGTATTTACTATTGATCAAAATAGGAAATAACACATCAGACTCACCCATTTGTATTTTTGTACTTCCTGCATCCATTTGATGCTATCTTTATAATAATCATGCACTGCTAATGGTGTTATAGGTGGCACTGAAATGAATATAAGGCATACAAAGATGCAGCAAAGACTGAAGAAAATTGTTCATTCGTTGTATGCTGATTAATTCCCAGATCTTTGTCTTTACTAAAGTCTCTAGCGTTCATACATTACCATCAGAAATTTTAAAAAATGAGCAACCAAATCGAAGAAAAGTTAATGTTCCTATGATATTTGATTATCATATAGCCTTTCCAATGACATTCCTTTGACTTCCTGCTACAAAGGCCCGAGAAGAAAGATTTTAGGACGTTACAAGGAACTCAAATTTCGTTGAATCAACAGCGTGATAATCCAAAGTTTGTCTAATATGATGTACAAAATTAGTTTCCCCTGTATAATAATTGCTATTATAAAAATCTCTCAATATTGCTTTCTTTTCTCTGAAACTTCGTATAGCGAAGGTCAATAAGAATTTGAGAAATAAAATCTGTTACTAATAGCAACTCTTACATTCTGTTATATTAGCTTGTGCAATGTCTTCTAAGATTTTGACAACTTCTTTGTCCATTTCTGAGAGATCATTCGGACTCCCACTTGTAAATGTCCATCTATGGCAAAAGAGAGTTTTACAAATATCAATACAGGCATGTTGGGCATTAACAAATAAAAGGGTCTTTGATGTAGAACTAACAACTATTGGTTCGTAAGTTTTCATAAAGGCCTACACAAGCTTACAAATGCTTGGTTGAATGTGTCTTGGAAGGGGAAAGTATACTTGGGAGAGCTTTGTGCAAAGTTTGGAAAAGGAAAAGAAGGAAGTCGCGAGCCTATTACATAATAAGAACACTTTGAAGGAAACTACAATCCCAGACAAAATTGTTGAGACATTTCAAGGAAAGCTTATATTTTCACTTTCCTTTAAAAAATAACTTTTCCCCCTCCCCCAATTCAATGTTGAATGCATGATTTTGAAGGAGAAATGATAGAACTACAAATCCAACATTGCTTTGGGGGGAAAGGGAGGATTCGAATTAATAGGGGCAAGGTAAAGTAGAAAATTACAAAAATTGCATTTTGTCTCAACATTTTTTGTCAGGGATTGTAGATTCACTTTAGAGAAGTACTCTATAGCCATGTGTTTCAAAGTTTTAAGAAAAATTCTAAGTTCTAGTTTTACAAAATTCTAATTTAGAAACTGAGGCAGACTAATCATAATAAATCCAACACATTTATTGAACTATGTCCTTTGGTAAGGAGTTATTGCAATATTTATTAGCTCGATTACTAGAAAATTGTTAGCTTAACTTGTGTGACCTGAAAGGAGAGAAACCAACTGATACAAGGTCCCTGAAAACAAAGAAAATTGATTAAAAAATATTGAAATTAGACAAGCCCAACTTGAAGAATGATGAAGTTAAATGACTAGAGACTAGTCAGAGCGGAGGGTTTTGGAGTAATTCATTATTATTAAACTACATTGTTTGGGAGAGGAGTCTAGATTCCTATTGTTTGAGGCATCACATGGACATGCGTATTGGAGCAAAGGCTTATAGAAAAAATTTACGTCTTATGGCGCTTTACAGCATTTTATTCAAACTTTTATATATCATAGTTGAATCATAGAAACCGGAGTTTCATTCTCGTTCTTCTCTTGACCTCCTTTTTACTAAATTTTCTTTGTCTTTTGCCTCGAGACTGGCTAATTCCCAAAAGTGTCACGAATATTACCTCAGAATACAATATGCGATGTGAAGAATACCTAAACGATTTTAACTGCGCATGTACAAATAATGCAAAATTTTAAAACCCAGCGGACCTTCAGACAAATGCTGGTTAATCTACCAAAAATGCAGTGAAAGAAAATAGGACAGATACATTATATTAACTGTGACCTTGTCAAAAAAATAGTACTGGTAATTATCAAGATGAATTGGTTAACCGAAATTCACTAGTACAGCACAGGCACGATGTTGAATAGCATATCTGGAGGAACGAACGAAGAAAGATCTTCTTGGTATCGAATGTCTCTTGGCGTTATGGTTGGATTGATCATCAAAATTTGGAAAAAGGGTGGCTATGTGGGTGCATACTTACCCAATAATTTCAGTTCCATAAGTTGGGTATTTGAAAACCCTTGCCGGCGCATCATCTGTTTTGTAAATTTCAGCGCCTAAATAAAGAATGCATTCAAAATATAAAACTTGTTTTATATACAAGGATTAGACGAACACTCACAGAAGATAGCACAAGACGACATGGAAGAACCTTTATAGGTGTTCTAGACGTTGCACATTGAAAACTCGGAAAATTCAAAGTCAAAGAGTTTAATTTCTTTCGTCACATGTCAAGGCTATTTCACTTGTGCTTTTAAAAGAAATAGAACAAAGTTTAATGAATTGCTTGTTTGCTCCTTCAAAAGCAAATTGTGTAATACTGGCCATGATTTTAAGCTTTAGGTTTGATCACAGAGAAAGATAGATTGAACAAATCAAGCAAATCAAGCAATTGCTCTTCCAGCCCTACTGACATTATATTGTCTTAGATGAAAGGCTATTGTCCTTCTCTTTATATAAACAACGGCTGACCCTCTCAGCTAATTTCCCTTTGAAAATGCTATGAGAAGTGGATAATCACATGGTTGTTTGGTATAAGGAAGATACTATCCCCGACCGCATTGTTTTGTTCAGAAATTCCAAGGGATGATAAAAAGCCCTACTGAAATCGCCTTTGTTAGACATCTTCAAGAACACCTTCAAGTGTCGTAAAGACAAATTGTGTATCTGTATAGAAAGTAAAGTAATCTTCTAAAGGGCAAACCGGCTTGATCCGCTTCATATTGCAAGTTGTTACCATACTCCCAGAAAATCATTCCTGCATCAGTTAGTTTGTTTATTGCTAGCACATGATATCGAAGACATTTTTGAACACACTTCTTGAATTTCTCTGGATTCTTCTTCATCATCATGTCCATCTCGTCTAGGGTGAGCTTCAAAGAGACAATGAGTGCACTTTGTCATTCTTTAATTTAAAAAAACTTTTACGTGATTTTTGAAAATTCGATATGTGTCGATGGTGGCTTTCTACTGAACTGCACACTTAGCCATGTTGCTACCATAAATTCTTGAACTGCCCCCTTGTATAAGCCCCCTCAAATAAACCCCGACTCTTAAAGCAAATCAAGACCCTACCCTCGAATAAGCCCCAACCCTTACATTCAATTTTTCTCATCTTAATTTGGTTTTGTGAAAAAACATTAGTATGATATCTAAGAAAAAGAAATTAAGTAATATTAAATTAAGTAATTAAGCAAAAATATCAGCTACTAGCATGGCAACTTTGAGATGTGTTTATACGTCCCCTCGTACAAGTCCGTCCTCATCTCGAATAAGCCCCCATCTAAAAAGTGCCTAATTCGATAAGCTCTAGCGGGCAAATTCAAGGATATACGGTCAGAACGGAAAATACATACTCATAAGCTACATTTCGGAAATGCTGCTCAAAATCCCAATGAAAAAACGTTGGAAAGGTTCAATATTTTATGTAGATTTACTGAATAATTTTCTTTAACTTTTACAATAGCACAGTTAAGAATCGATATCTAATTAAAAGCAGTATCCACTTAAATAAATAAATAGCCTGCCAGATAATATTATATCATACCTCAGAATATCTTTACTTAAAAGCGCTCTATTAATAATAAACCGAATTACATACTTGGGCTGGCACATATCCTCCTGAAAATGGTCTTTTTAGGTTTGTTTGATCCGTTCCAATGTCAACAAGCAACTCTCCTGTGCTTTCTAATTCTTCTGCAAATCTCTCCCTGCAGAATAAATATTTGTCCATAGATGCTAAAATACCAAATTGTATCTAACTTAAAAAAACAGAGTTTTTATAAAGAGTTTTATGAATTGTAATATTTTTATTTTTATAAAACAAATTTTGATGTTCCAAATTTCCAAATTTCTTTATGAACTGCTCCATCGCAAGAAAATTTGCTATCATTACGTTTTAGGATTTGGTTTATTTGCTTGCATTACTTTCCAAGTACATTCTAGTAGCACATAGCAATGAATATAATATAATAAAGACTTCAATAAAGTACATAAAAAAGTAAATTGAAAATTTGGGTTATGTTTTCTGAAAAATATTTATTATACTTACTATCATACTTATTATGCAGAATATGATGTGTAATAATTTTAAAAACTTGCTATTATTGTTGATTAGTTAATTTCGTAGCTTAGCATCCATGTCACTGAAGATAACTTGCTTTCATTCATATTTTCAGTCACAGTTGCGTAAGGAAAAGTGATAGCTTGTTTATTATCAACGGTAATCATGGAAAACTCATAGGATATTTGGCAATTATGAGAGAAATATAAATTATTGCTTGCAAACTGTGTATTAATAATTCAGAGGCAAGTTAACAGCAGATTTTCCACTCACCAGACATCAACCACGTTGCCATGGTATGCAATACACTTGCCTTTACTCTCTGTTTTGCTTTTTCTACAATTCACGACATTAGAACTGGTATGGAATGCTTGAAGTGTATAAAAATGGCATTAAATACGAAGGGGGGAGCAGTAGGGTATCAAGTCAAATCGCAGTTATGTAGAAGCTACTTCCTGATGCCTAATTAGACGGGGGTTGTGATAGCACGGGGAGGTTATCTCTATGGTTCAAGAAAGTTTCTATGGACCAATAAGAAGAAAGGATTCTTTACAAAAAGGGGGTTCATAAGAAATGGTTTATGACCAATGAACGCTTGGGACAATAAATGTATCTACAGCTGGTGTAAACGATGTAATGCAAAGTGCAGGAAAGCAATAAAACCTGATGCTTTGTACAATCTAGGGGGTTGGAGACAGTTTATTTGCTTTACAAGAGTCTTTAAGAATGAGAGTTTGCGAATAACTGATAAGAACATCGGGGGAGATCATAACAAACATTACAAAAACCAAATGGATGTAGTATTCAGGACAATGTTAATGCGTCTTTAACGCATTTTGAGATTTTTTGTAACAAAATGAAAGAACCCAAACTTTTTAACAATTCACGGAAGAGAAAGTTCAAAAACCAATAAGGCAACTTGAAAAGAAAGCTTTGCATTTATTTGGTGGAACATTTAAGATAAAAGACAAAGCTATTTTCCCAGAAAGAAAACAAGTTGAGCTGCGTATTCTTACCGAACTCTTGCAATCAATTCATCGAGGTCGTCAACCACTTCAGTGATCCATCTAATAAAGCAGCGAAAAGAAGTTAATGAAAAAACTACTATTTTAAAAGGCTATTCAAAAACAGATTTTCAGAGTTTTTCAGAAGCTGGAGACTTTAAAAGTACACTCTCTTGGAAAAATAATCACAAAGTGGTACCTTTTATGTAAGAAAAGCTGACATTCTATTTATCATTATCGTTCTAACAGAACCGATATAACAAATATATAGATAATGTGTCAATTTTTTAACCATTGAATATAGCAAAAGACTCCATTATTTTGTATAGTTTATTCCAAACAAGATACCTGTTGGTCACGGATAGTCATACTATTTAATGAAAAAAGCATCTGAAAACCCCTTTTTATGGCAAAGAATGGAAGGTGAATAAGAATCTGTGACTCACTCCTCCTTTTGCCATTTTTCTATTAGGTAATCATCGACCTGATCAAAAAACGAAGAACTTGTGAAATTCTAGTTGAATACCAAAGACTATTTTATGAAATATGGAATATAAATGCAGAATAATGAGCAAGAGGTGACTGATATCAATCAAAGCGTAGATTTGAATAAAGTTGGAGCATTTTCATTGCTTTTTCGTGACTCGGTTCCTTTTCCATTGAAATGACTCCATCCCTTTCCGGCTAATATTCAAAGTTTTTAACAGGAAAATACTTGAGTGAATGTTTAGATTAGTTTAAAAAGAATTGCTGTTTTTAGTTACATATCTGCATAGTTGAATCCTTTCCTGTAAAGGTGATTGCTAGGTTCTGTTATAAGCTCAAAGATTCGCGCTGCTTTTGCTCAATACCGTTAGGCCACCATTTTAATGAACCATAAGAATGCAGTAAGAGTTTGGTTATCAATTGTCAAATTGAATTCTAATTCGCAGCCATTTTGGAATACCAGAACCTGACTACTTTGATCCATGCAAATTTTTTTAGAAAAGTAGGAAATTAATCAACATCATCATCATCATCATTACATTTACATTTAACAACCCTTTTGGGTCATATAAATGTCTGCCCAGTCAACTACAACATTAAAATTTTAAAATTTACTGAGGTGATTTCGACATAGGTTGTAAAAGGTATCCGAATTTGCCTGCATCACAATACTGCAACGAACAATTTTTTCTCTGAATTCAAAATTATCATACATTTAGATCGAATTTCTTATAGTGAATATGACTTCTTAAATGATCATTGTTGATCGATTGTCCCGATCTCTTTTCGAATTTTGCATTTGCGACCGAGGCTTCATTGTGACGTCAGATAGATCTACGTTGACTCGGTTTCCAATACTAAAAATGATGATGTCATTAGGTGTGACATAACTACAAACAATGGTAAGGCAAATGAAGATTATAATCTTGATAAGGATCTGAAGTGTGATTGATCAATGGTTGAAAACATGTAATCCCAGTTTTGAGCCTCTGATGGAGTGCAAAAGACTTCAATGATAAAAGATAGGTTCAAATTTAGTAAGAAAATCGTACAATTTTTACCTCAACTTCTTGGATCTAAAATGATGGGTAGGGTTCTCTGGAAAAATATTTGTCTACATGGTGATGCAAAAAATCTTAGGTGTGAATGAAATACCTCTGCAATTACTCCAATACAGCCATTCATTTTAGACGCCAAAGCTTGCGCACATCCCATTTCTCCAAGTCCAGCTGATACGAAAACCTACGAAAACCGCATTTAAGGAAAGTTTCTAATCCTGTCAATTATAGTTAATCATTGACAAAGAAAAAGTACTGCAATTTCATCACTTTCCAAAAATAGGAGTCACTCTAACATACGACCAAGCTTCAGGCAAAAATTCTTACGTTAGGGCAGTGTTGTTTTTAAATTATAACTGTTTGGGGGTCACCCCCTCCAAGCTATAAAAAACGTCTACGCGAGACAAAATTTCGATGGATGGGAGTCGATTGTGATTCATGCTAATGGTACAAATTTCACTCTCTGTTATCAATGATCTAGAAATGTGGGTCGATGGTCTTACATCTAACATAACCTTGAATCTGATCTAACATTAATGGCGGGTTAAGAGCTTTACAGATTTATGTAGCACTTAATACCAAGACATGAAACCTGACATTAAAACCCGAAAAGCTTTTACAAACATCTCATTTTAGTACTGTCTACCAAGGCACCTCCCACCTTCCAACTCACACCTTGTTTTCAACTATAACTATATGGCGAAATAGCATATTTGTAAATAGCTTATCTATAAGAAACCAAGAAGACAAACCTTGCCATTCAGATCATCAGAACCTTTAAATTTTCGATAAACAGATATCATGGTTATCTGCAAAAAATTATTCATAAAAGGCAATAAAATAATATTGTTGCGTCGTTTGGAAACAGCTATAAAATTTCACTCAGTGCTAGATAAGAATGTTTAAGAATCAATGTAGTTAAGCGCATGCTTTACGATCCAATGAATAATCAAGACGTAGAAACATCGAACAATATTCAACTTCCATGTACAAAGTTGTAGTTTAGTTATTTCAATTTTTATTGATTAAAAATGGGTTTGAAACAGGGCGAGAACCCAATTGTGTTTGAAACATTTGAAGTAACAATAGATTTTGAAAAATCTAATCAAGTTCAAAAATATATAATGAACTTGAATTTCAAAAATTAAAACTCAGATACTGGTTGAACTGGAGAACAGCAGTAGTGGTGAAGCTAAAAATCCCAATATGTCAAGACTGTTTTATCCCAAATAATCAAGGTCAATTTATTCGTCCTTCTCAACATGAATTCATTGAGTAAAATAACAATGGCTTTTCCCTTGCATAAAAATCTAGAGTAAAGAATATAGACTTATACAAAGGTATGAGAAAATATTTTTAGTTCTTTGATAGGAAGAGGGCAAGATCTGTTCAAAGAACATAGAGCAGGAATTTAGTTACAGCTGACGTACCATTGTGGCGTGAACAACAGCCTGAGGTCCAATGTGTCCAAACATTGAGACACCCACGCTAAAAATCTCTTGCTCTGCCTCTGGTAGAGTTTTAGGTATCTGTGAGATTGAAGCAATGAATGATAAAGTAAGGAGGATCACTAGAAATCTCTGTCAACGAGAAATTAATTTGGAACCCTGTTTATCAACGATAAGTTAAGATGATGATTTGCAGAATCATTGATTAATACGATGTCTTTAAAGGCTCGTACTCATGATAATCGACGATGAATCAAAGCGCTAAACAGCTTAAACTAAAAATATTAAGCTTTTCACATCTTGCTTCGAAACTATCCGTTGAGAAACTATAGTTATGAGTAGTGGATTCTTTTTATGGCAGAAACTAAGCTAAACAACTGCTTATTCTAATAGTTATGTATTTATACTTTCACTCCTTTTAGTTAATGCCAAGCAATATATAATCTTTGAGACCATACCTGCTCAAAGCTTTTTAAAAGCGCGAGGTAAGGTAAAAATAGAATAAAATTTAGGCTCCAGATCGATAGACAGGACAGGGATCAGTCCGAAGAAAAACCATAGGCAGATGCTTATATTTTTGAATATTTCTAAGATTTACGAAGTTTTTAGGGCTGCTCACATCGACAATGTCTTGTGAACAGTATGATGTCGCCATCGCCATTCACTTTTACTATGCGATTATATATTTTTCTCGTCATTACCTTCACTATGCCATTTGTCACAACAACTCTTGGCGCAGTTGGAAAGCTTGGAAATAGTCCAGCTGGATGGCCAGAATAAATAACTAGAGTATGATCTTCAGTCATAGTGGAGAGATAGTACATTGCAAGCCAGAACTGAAAGGGAGCACAAAGGTAAATAAACCATTTGAATGAAAATTGCAGATACAGTAATTGTCAACGATAGCTAAAACTTCAAATGCCAACACTTGAAAGTTGACAAGGATTGATTACCTACTTAAGTTATCGTTCTCTTCCACCACCTACTCATGTACAATATTGATTGCTCAACTGACGACCTAATAACAACTTATACAAGTCTGGTACTTTCCATCAATCATACAATATCAAAAACTGATATTTCGCAAAAATTATTACGAGGTAGGAACGGGTTGTGGTAAATTGCTTTTAAACAAAACAGAAGACAGAAAAATCATTTAAAATAAGTAGATCGAAAGATCTTGCTATACATTTATTTCTATTGGTAAGAAATGAATACCAAATGGTTCAAAATATGGAACTCATTGGGATATCTTACAGCCATAAGTGGTAAGGTATGTATTAAACATTTTCGCTTCATATTTGCTTGCTGGCAAATTTTATATAAATATTATGTTGCTAGTAATCATAACAATGCCAATAATTGTGATATGCATCCAGTATTTGCAAATGAAATTCAGCTTAGCTAAAGTTTCAGAAAATCGTATCAGGCATTTGCAAATTCAGTGAACCTGTGCCCAGTTTGAGAAAACTTGTCCTCGTCCGTCGTACGTGACCAGCTCATGAGGGTACTGCAAAAAAACAAATTAAAAAAACGCGTAAAACGACATATAAAATACATAAAGGACATATAAAACGCCAGGTTTTCAAAGGTTACTGAAAGCAATAAAATAAATATCCAACGAAAAACTATGATAGATCTAAAAAAGAACTAGCCTGGAATCTTTGTTAGTTATCTTTGAAGGTTATGGACCTTTTACATAAAACAATTACATAAAACGAACCTGTTCAGTTTTCTTATCATAACCAAAGGAGACGTTATGTGACGTTTAGGTTTTCTTTACTGAACAAGACAATTGAGGACCATTGAAGAAAAATCCTTTTCAAAACAGTATTTGAAAACAAAGGCGCAACAGAGAGGGGGAAAAGATGGTAATGGTGGCAAAAGAAAACAACTGTTGTGAAAGATGAATTGCACATTGGGTTCGTGGAAGAATGGAACAAAAACCAAACTGGCAAAAAAGGAAAGAGAAATAGGAAAGGTGCTGTAGATGTAAAGATTTTTGGTGAAGAAAAATTGGTTCCTATGCTCAAAGAAATTAGAGTACATATCAGACTGCTTTAGCGATTGGAAGGGTATCAAGTTGGAGAAATTTGCAGAACAACTAGACAAAAGCAAGAAAAGGAGACATCTGCAATGAAAATGTTTACTGTTAGGAGAAGACAGCTTCGAGAAAGGAGACAGTTTTGAATGAAGAAGCCAGTTGCAAGAAAACAAAGCGGCTGCAAAAACATTAGGCTGTTGAAGAAAAGTACACAGTTGCAGAAAGGTTAACATTGGCAAGAAAAGTTGATGGTCGTAGAAAAGAAGATCGTTGCAAGGTTTCGCAAAAAATTGGCAGCTTTGTAAGAAGTAGATGGTTGCTAGATAATATAGGGTCGCGTGAAAAGTAGACGGTTGTGATGAAAAGACATTTGCGAGAAAAGTTGACAATTGCCAAAAAGGTAGATAGTTGAGGATAAAGTAAATTAAAGAAAAACCTATGCAGTTGCAGAAAAAGTTGACGGAGTCGGAAAGAGTACTAAAAAAAGTAGAACATATATGGGTAGGAAATTTGGAAGAACTATGCATGCGTCCTTGTCCTATGAAGTATAAACAGTGGAGATTCGATTATTTACAGAAGACGGCGACCGCCAGTGCGAAGAAACTCACCTTTGCAACTTTTGGATCAAGCATGCCCATAATCATTTGCATTGCAGCAGCAGCTTTGTGCGTCACGACGGGGTAATGACAAAGAGGGTACGCCCTATAATGGAAAGGCAACAACGCTAACCAGATAACATATTTAATTGTGGCAGCCTTTCCACTAGCCTGGGTTAAACAAAACCGGGTTAAAAGTTATCCGCTTTTAAAGTGAGTCAATGGAAACGGCAATTTTCTTCGACCCGTTTTCAATCCGTTTTTGATCGTTCCCACTAAGCCGGGTTAAAATATATTCGGGGTGAAAAGTTGTAAGGAAATCAGTATTTGCATCAATAATCCTTCAATTTTCATCGTTTTAGGCCAATGGAAGCAACATCGACATCGAGGATTTTGTTTTTTGATTTGTGGCGCCATCTCAATCCTTAAACGTTGCTGTTGTTGCAAGTGGGTCAGAAGTTATCCGGGTTTCGGCATTTCCATTAACTCGCAGGTGGGTCAAAAGATACCCGGGTAAAAACTGACCCACCTTGAGACCCGTTTTCAAACTTATCCGTTTTTCAAGTGGGAACGCGACGCAGAAACGGATAACTTTTAACCCGTTTTTGTTTTAACCCGGGCTAGTGGAAAGGCTGCCTCTTGGCAAAATAGGTAACAATGGTTTTTATTCTCAGGCGAGCCAGGGTTATCAAACTCAAGGACAACATGATACAATTGTCTATACCACAAATACTGACTGCCAAATATGCTGCTCACGATGAAACCAGGCTGTATTATTTGTTGTTTATTATTTTATTCATAGTGACCAATGTTCATTATCTATTCAAATGTGTCAAGTTGTCGGGCTAATTGTAGGAGCATCAGTTATAATATCATGATTTTTTGGCTATCCTTTAACACTTTTGGCCAACTCATAGTTCAGCAAGTTTTTATTCTGCAAAAGTTGCTGTTTTCATTAATTGGCTACACCCTCAAGGAAACTATTGTTATTTGCTCTGTGTTGGAAATTTCAAGCCTTTTTTTGCAGTTTCTCCATATTTCTAATGAGGTCATTGATTGGGTAGAGAAATTCATCCATATGTTAATCTGAACAGCTTGCTGATCGCAATAAGAGTTGCAGCTTTGAACGGTCCTGTTCTATACACAAAACACATATGCTATATTATGTACAATCGACACAGAAACATCATAATCATTGGCCTCTTACAGCAGAAATCCAATTCAGGAGAAAATTCACTAAGTTCTAGATAACGTACAATGTTGCCTCCCAGAGAAACCGAAATGGGCTCGTAATGTCGAACATTCTAGATGGTTCTAGAAAACCGGCAGTCCTGATAGCGGGTGTCAACTGCATTTGAACTTAGGGTTTCTACCGGTCTGAGATCCGGGAGGTAATTATTGGTTAAAGAACAAGGACCCAATCATCTTGCTATGACAAGTACAAGAAGCAAGCTCAGGGTGTAACGTTGCAAAAATTTGTCTTCGTCCATACAGAATGCTATAAATTCGGCTGGAAATCTTTTGTCCTGGGCGGGGTTTTTATTTGCCTTGAATGGATTTCAAGGCTCTTAAATGTAATCAGCAAATAACAAAGAAGCTTCAACAATCTGGCAATCAACAATTGGCCAATCAGTGAGCGAGATACCACTCACACGCTTATTGATTGGCTAATTTTTATTGAGAGGTAGCTTAAGCCACTTAAGTATTTAGTCAAGATTTTCCTTGATTATCGCTTGATTATGATTTTAGAAGCATTCTTTTGAGCCAAAATACAGAAACTAGAACCCCGGACCAAAATAGTTGAGATTTTTCATGAAAAGGTGATGATTTCTCTTTCCTTCAAAGAAAAACTTTTCCCCCTTCCCCATTCAATGTTGAATGCATGTGTTTAAAGAACCAAACAACTGCAAATCCAACATTGATTTGGGGGAAAGGGGGGGTTTCGAGGTCACAGGGGCAATGTAAAGTAGACAATTGCAAAATTGCACTTTGTCTCAACAATTTTGTCAGGTATTGTAGTTACATCGCCCGGTATGTCCGTGGAAAAACAAATTTACAGAAACAATATTGACATGGGCCGTAATTGCAACACCAATTGATACCTCATTTTTAACGTTGGTCGAAATCTGTACATGTATATATGTCCATATTTTTTGAGCTCATCAGCAAATTCAGGCTCCAAGACATCATGTGTTCCAATTGGGAAATACTGCAAAGCATCTAGCACCAGCTCCTATAATGAAAAATTGAATTTAACTTGGGACTTGTAAAGTACCCTTTCTTAGTACCAAGCAAAGAAAAGTTTAACTTCAAGTCAGTTATTACAAAAAAGGGTACAAATAAACTTAGGCTGTGTTGTGGGCAAGGAAAACTTTAAACAATTAAAAAAATTATAGAAGCCATCAAAAAAAATTTCTTAGAATTCATTGTAGCTTGTCCTTTTAATTTTTGGGTACAGCTTTCTGCTAGAATATTATCTTTTGAAAAGGTAATTTTTATCTTGCCCAGAAAAATCCTGAGCGCGATTCTGAAGCTGAGCACCAACCATCAAGTTTACCAATACATTAACTTCTTAGCCCTGTACAAGATTTGAGACCAGTTTGGGCTAAGAAACTTACAATTTCACTCGGTTAACAATAATCTAGGTTACTTTGCTACAGGAAACTGTATACTGAAGCTTGGTGCTTGGCTTGAAAGGGCCTATCAAAACAAAACAGTCCAGCGAGATTTAGGAACCAAGTGTGATAGTGTACATTTTTCTGAACATGCCATAGGTTCAAACCAAAGAAAATTTACTACAGTGATCTTGCAGTGGTTGAATGATGGGGTGAAGGAGAGGTTTGGAAAACATTACTGGGCCAAACTTTGCCAACTGGTTTAGCAAAGAACGAGCGAATTAACTGAATGGTAAGGACCGTTTCTAGCAAATATTCTGTTTTTCCTTCACACTGGTTTGGTATGTCGACTTCGGAAAAAGCCAAATGACTATCTTCTCTTCTCTTTGGTGGTGCAGGCTTACTTCAAGTGCCAGAAATATTTTCAGAAACAGGAGAGTGTTTTGCAGGAGCCATAACCCTTTCTGATTATCAGAAAGTCAACCACCACAGGCTCTGCGTTTCTCAGACCCTTTTAAAGCAAACAAGCCCATGCTATGCTAATTTCCAGCAAGCATAGTAAGGACGCAAGACACAATACAAAGTGACGACTTGAAACTGAAATTATTTAGTGTTCAGCTCAAAATAGCCAAATTAACGGTATGAATATGCATATTGGCTAGGCTTTGGATTGGAAAAACCAATCAAGGCAGATTCTACCAAGGTGTCAAAATCATGCCAAGCCTTTTTTACTGAAAGAGCTTTTGCAAACTCCCTACATGCATTGTGTTGGGTCCCACTTGTAATGTTGTTCCGTTTTGGACTGTGCAGGTTTAACTGACATCGAACAGTTACGGAAACTTTAAGCTGTGCTGCTAGGAAAATTACGAGATTTTGAAATGCCCCTCTTTCGCCCTTCGTAATATAGGCCTTCGGTTGCCAAAGAAAAGTGAAATAACGGTCAGAGATGTTTTCTTAAAAGGTTGTAGACAATTTGAAATATCCTGTCAGCCGACACAAAGCAGCAACCTACCCTAGGTGGTCATCAAAACTAGGAAATTTAGGGATTACTATTTAGGGAGGGGGGGGGTTTCCTTTTGTTACTTCTGATATCCTTCATTATACATTATGAATTAGTTTTTTAGAAATTGAAAAAATATGCACATACATCAAGCATACTTAGCTTCAGAGGGTTTGGGTCATTTTCTAGAAAATGCATAATAGCAATGTATATAACGATAAATAGCACAAACCCTTTCTTTCTCCGCTGTTAATTTAGGCTTTTTGCGTGGTGCATGAGCGACAGCCTTGCTTCTGTTTGTGGCAGCTTTTGGTAGTGGATCGACTGGAATACCTGTGCAGATGTCCCTCACTGTATCACTTATCTTGTAAAGAGCTTGTCCGAAGAGAACGCTTTGAAGTGAGGGCTGGGGCATTGACTGTCTCCTCTTTCCATATACGTCTTTCAACTGATCAGATAACTCCATTTTCTTCCGTTCATTTTTCAGAGCGGCTGGTGAGACGCTTTTGCGCCTGTCCATTAGCGGATTGAAATTCATTGCAAACTGGGGTTGATGTGCAACTGTGTGTCCACAATCTGAAGCTTTAAAACGAAGTCCGGTAGTCTCCCAAATGAGCCAACTAAAGTTTATTGCTTAAGGAAGGGTTAACCAGCCATAAAAGTTCTCTCCTTTCAAATATGCTTATTTAGGGTCAGAAAACACTTATTTTGTAACCTATCGAATGCATCAAGTTTAAAGGAGATCTAAAGTGGCTAAGTGGCTTTGATCAAAGAACCGAGCAATAATCAAAAGGAATTTATTTCTTGATCAAGTGCTTAGCTATCTTTTCCGAAGATGAAGAAAAAGCAACGAATCCATTATGGGAGGTAAGACTAAAAGACCTGATTGCAGTTGGATTAAACAAGAACAGCCAAGTCTAAGTCCCCAGCACAGACCTGGCTTAGCTCTATTTCGCTTGATCTTTAGAAAATTATGTTCTACTTTAGTTTGAAATTTTTAGAATTCTCTCGTAGAATGAATGTCAATTTATAATCGCACCAAAAGCAACTTGAATGGCGAATGGTGATTATTTGTGATATATTTGTGCAAAGGAAAAAGACTGAATAAAATTTCAGAAAATTTTTTTGGAAACCTTTTTGTAAACTTTCTCAAAACTTGTACTTTAAGTTCATTAAGGTTTTCTTTGGGAATCCCATCACAGTTAGTGCAAATTTGAGTTGAATTTCAAAATGTTACCACAGGGGAGGGGAAGGGGGGCTTTTCTGGCTTTTCTTGAATAAAAGGATTTGCTTTATGATCGACAGATATAAAAGCAACGATATAACTAAAATGCGATGGCAAGAGTCTTCAAGCTTAACAAATTTTGCTTTTACGTTTACTCATAGAGATACTTTAGGGGTGTATAATTATGATTTGTCTAAAACAACACTTCAGATCTAATAGAAACAAAAAGATAAAAAAGACTGGAAAGGTTTTTTTAGAGAACTGGATCAAAATTGTAAATAACCACAAGAAGTTATTGGATCATATTTTTCATGGAAATGCGTCTTCAGGAAGGCGAGGCAAGCGTGAGCGAGGAGGGCCGGGGATACGGTGGAAAGGCAATATCAAAAAAGACGACCTTGCCAGGGATAAAAAAGAATGGCGAAGAAGGATTCGGGCGGCCGACCTTGATTAATCAGGACAAGGCCTACGGTGAAGAAGACGTCTTCAGCAAGATAAATAACAGAATTCTAGTGGAACATTAGGCAATGCAGAGAGACGACATCGCATAGCAACATTTAGATAATAAATTCCATCATTCTGAACAAGGTTTGATATCTTTCTTTAAAATATACATACTCAAAAACCAATACGAATCTTTTTACAAAGTGAAAACTAAATAAAGGATCTCATCACAACTGTGTACTTGATTCTTGCAATTTCTCTGAACCATACTGCTGCTGGGTGAAGCAATTTCAACATGGGTCTTCATAAACAAGATACAAGCCATCAATTATGCGAGATATTTCTTTCTGAAATAAAACAAAATAGTCGTTTCATTTCTCACCGGCATCAAAGGTTCGATCCAAACAATGGCAGTAAACTTCTACGGATTAACCACATTGATTTCAAACTGTCTGAAAATGCATTCTGGGATGATTGCGTAGCGCAATGGCTCATTGTTAGCAATGAGTCTTTAAAGGTTTTTTACCCAGAAAGTCTATAACAGGCTGCTGACTGAAACATACTTAATATCAGGCCATTGGGAGCTAGAACTTGCGAAGGAGGCTATAAAGATTTCTTCTACCCAACGAAGTCTTATGTTCTACCAAGTTTAAGTCTACTTAAGGACTGTTGCACAGCCTGCGCGGCATGCTTAGCGGTAGCTGGGGGGGGGGGTACCTTAACATGGTACGGGGACGTGCCATTATTTAGGGGTACCTTTTTCTGAAAAGTGCGGAATTATCGGTATCACTTTTTGAAATATGTGCGGAACTAGCGGAATTATGGGCATTGTTTTTATCATGTTTGCAGAATTATTGGTCACATTTTTTCGGACATTTGAGGAATTATGTTTCCAAATTTTTAACCAAAATGGCACGTCCCCGAGGGTAGCTGACTTGATAAATTGATTGTGTTTTGTATTTTCATGCATTACGATATTAGGCGGGTCCTTTGAACAATAGTCGCAAAGCATACCGGTTGCGCAAGAGCCTTTCATTAGGACATATTCCAGGTAAAATGTTGAAAAGATGAGACCTGAGGCATTAATAAAACTGTGTATTAAATGAAATATCCAGATGATGGTCGACATAACTTCTATGTAAAATATGAAAACTTGCAATGATCTACAATTTGTCAAATGAAACTGCACATACTCTTTGGCAACACAATTTAAATCAAGCGGTTGTGATTTTGCTATTCCAGTGAAAGTAAAAGATTAAACTAGTTATTAGAATATTATTACTCTTGGTAGCACGATCCTGCAATGCCGTTTGTGGATCAAAAAATTATTTAGCATGGTTATTTCTTTCATTGGATTTTCAAAGGCATTAAAAAAAGACAAAATCAAAGTGGTAGCAATCAACACAAAACCAGCATAAAATTTCTAGATTAGCATACTTGTAATCAATGCTATTGAACAGGAATTGTATTTTGGGCCATCTTGACATGGTTATTTATTATGTCGAATAACTCTTCAGGCTGGGGAAGCCGCCCAGATTGCAGCTTTGACCAAATAGGCATATCTAAAAGTCAAAGCAGGGGAAAAATGCAATTAAAACCACGGTTACCATTTGGTCGATTAGAAAATCAAATTTATAATGTCGACGCAAGATAATATTGATAATGTTTTTGCAATATTTTCTTCAGAAATGAAACATAAGGCTCGTGTCTGGACATGGGAGTTTTACCGATTATTCATGTTCGCTTGCTACAATTTTAAAGTCAATAATTCTAGGTAAATATTTAGAAAGGGAAGAAGAAATACAACTCAGAGAGTCAAATCGATGCAGTTTCGCTTTATAACCTGTAAGACAGAGCCCTGTAGATAGATACTGAGGCTAAGCTTAGTGAAATATAAACAAATTCAAATTCATGTAAATCAGCAACATATTTGCAATTTATCGAATATATTATTTTGAGTAATGATACGTTTATGAAAGATACAAAAGACTGAATGATATAACTCAATGCCTTTAAAATGTAAAATACAAAATTGAAGACTCAGTGATACAATATGCTGTAATAAAATATAAAGTATGTTGTCTGGGACACTTGGAGAACCAGCGTGGCTTGAAAAGTTAACACGCCTTGTCATCATGGGCAACTTTACTCTTCATTATGTCTCACTCAATGTCTAGGTCACGTGCATCCATGTAACTAATGCTACCATTCACAAAGGTTGCTCTTTTGATGCATATTCATATTCAGATATCGACCGTAGAGCGAGCGGTCCACACAACATAAAATATGTATCCGCCTTAATGTATTTTGCCAGGTGTTCAACAACGGTTTACTGTTTTTCATCCAAGGCAATTTGCATCCATGTCACTAGTGCATCTATGTTCAGGAAAGATAGCTTTTTGATGCAAATTCAATTTCTTATGACAAAAGTAGACGGCCCACACAACATAAAACATGCATTTGTCTTGATGTCTTTTGCAAGGTGTTCAACAACTGTTTACTGTTTTTTATCCAAGGCTATTTGCATCCATGTCATTAGTGCATTTATGTTCAGGAAAGATAGCTTTTTGATGCAAATTCAATTTCTTATGACAAAAGTAGCAGCCCACACAACATAAAACATGCATTTGTCTTGATGTCTTTTGCAAGGTGTTCAACAACTGTTTACTGTTTTTTATCCAAGGCTATTTGCATCCATGTCATTAGTGCATTTATGTTCAGGAAAGATAGCTTTTTGATGCAAATTCAATTTCTTATGACAAAAGTAGCAGCCCACAGAACATAAAACATGCATTTGTCTTGATGTCTTTTGCAAGGTGTTCAACAACTGTTTACTGTTTTTTATCCAAGGCTATTTGCATCCATGTCACTAGTGCATTTATGTTCAGGAAAGATAGCTTTTTGATGCAAATTCAATTTCTTATGACAAAAGTAGCAGCCCACAGAACATAAAACATGCATTTGTCTTGATGTCTTATTCAAAGTGATCAACAACTGTTTACTGTTTTTTATCCAAGGCTATTTGCATCCATGTCACTAGTGCATTTATGTTCAGGAAAGATAGCTTTTTGATGCGAATTCAATTTCTTATGACAAAAGTAGCAGCCCACAGAACATAAAACATGCATTTGTCTTGATGTCTTATTCAAAGTGATCAACAACTTTTTACTGTTTTTCATCCAAGGCTATTTGCATCCATGTCACTAGTGCATCTATGTTCAGGAAAGATAGCTTTTTGATGCAAATTCAATTTCTTATGACAAAAGTAGCAGCCCACAGAACATAAAACATGCATTGGTCTTGATGTCTTATTCAAAGTGATCAACAACTTTTTACTGTTTTTTATCCAAGGCTATTTGCATCCATGTCACTAGTACATCTATGTTCAGGAAAGATAGCTTTTTGATGCAAATTCAATTTCTTATGACGAAAGTAGACGGCCCATACAACAGAAAACATGCATTTGCCTTGATGTATTTTGCAAGGTGTTCAACAGCTTTTTACTGTTTTTCATCCAAGGCTATTTGCATCCGTGTTACTAATGCAACTGTTCACGAACTCTGTTGATTTAAATTTAAATTCTTTTGACGAAAGTACAAATGGCCAGCAAAATAGAACACGTGCATTTGCCTTAGAAAGAACAATCCATTAATGATTTATCACGATCGATATCTCATCTAGGGCAATTGTCCTTCATAACACTACACTAAAAGTCCTTCATAAGTCCTTCATAATAAGAACACAATTGTAACTAAAGCGTTTATTTCCTGCATTATATTTTGTTTTCTTCAGTGGGAAACACGTTTGAAAATAACTTTTGCTTAGAAGAATCCGATGGAAAGTTTGGTTAATTTTCACAGAATTGAAATTGAAAATACAATTCGCAAGCAGTTTTGATTTTTGTCATATACTGTTTGTTTGCTCTTTCAGTATTGGCTAATATTGTATCAGGAATGTTCAAGAGCACAGAGAGGTTAAAGAGACCCCTAGGGTAAAAGGGGAAAATGCGGATCATCTGCGGACAGAAAATTTGGCAAACATGCCCCTTAGAATAGCTTAAAATATATTTCAGAAAGATTTTTTGCAGTCATTTTAACACGTTAAACGTTTCTCAATTGTCCGACGCAAGCCCGAATTTTCCAACCAGATCGTTCACTGGAGGAGAGGGGGGGGGACTGAGCCCCACAAACCCCCCATAATTTAGGCCACTGCCTCCAACGAAATATCAACCATTAAACTCATTGAACCATTGATTAGATTTTGAACCATTAAATTCAAGCTCCACTCATTAATTTAAACTCTCCACTTTTAAATTTGTGGCGTGACAGTACGTTCTTTGGCTAGGTGATGCTTTTGCAAGAATGGATGACTTTGAGAATTTGCCGGATAATTAACCTCTTTGGTATTTTTTCACTAACCTAAATTGTTTTGTTCTCATTGATCGTTCAGTCTTTTTATCTCATAAATTATTTCTGTTGCTGATTTTTCTATTTTTGTCTGTATTTTGGAAAAATATAATTTTTCAAGGGCCCCGAAAATTTTTACTAATTTTTAAAGTAAACAAAGTACAACAGCATTGTTAAACCTGGTGACATAAAATGATTGGCAACATAAAATGAAATATTCCTCACCTCAACTAACAAGTATTGCCCCTATTAACTAGCTAAAATCCAAAAAGCTGTTGCAAGTTATATAAAAATTTTAAGATGACCTAAGATGACCCATGAAAAGATCAAAATTACTACTAAAAAAAGTGGCACTCAAATGCCTCAATGGCATCAAAGAGTCTTCATTAAAAACAACCAAAAATCTTTTACTTTACACAAAATACAAGGACAATTAGGGTTATATTTGTTTTCCAACACTGAGACTGGTACATGTAGTTACAAATACCAAAACATTACGCTCATATAATAATGTTCTTTTTCAAAATAGCTAGTAAACCAAAGGCCCAATGATATAAGAATATACATTGATAGATACAAACCATTCAATGACACTTCAAATGCTCCTGTAGAGAGGAGTTGTGCTTCGATTGTGTTGCACAGGAAAAATGTGATGATACAGGCATATATCTGTAAAATACAAGACAAATGTTATGACAATTGAAAGAAAAATTGAAAAATAATATAGTTTTAATACAGCTAAATATTAAAACAATTCATTTAATATTTGAAGTTTCACATATTCCTTAACCAGAAATATAGGGGAATATGTGACACAAATACAGGCATAGCAAAGAGCAAAGTCAAAGAGACATTGGACCAAATTCAGTTCCCATTATCATAAACTGGAAATTGTCTCCGTTTAGTTTTAATACAGCTAAATATTAAAACAATTCATTTAATATTTGAAGTTTCACATATTCCTTAACCAGAAATATAGGGGAATATGTGACACAAATACAGGCATAGCAAAGAGCAAAGTCAAAGAGACATTGGACCAAATTCAGTTCCCATTATCATAAACTGGAAATTGTCTCCGTTTAGTTTTAATACAGCTAAATATTAAAACAATTCATTTAATATTTGAAGTTTCACATATTCCTTAACCAGAAATATAGGGGAATATGTGACACAAATACAGGCATAGCAAAGAGCAAAGTCAAAGAGACATTGGACCAAATTCAGTTCCCATTATCATAAACTGGAAATTGTCTCCGTTTAGTTTTAATACAGCTAAATATTAAAACAATTCATTTAATATTTGAAGTTTCACATATTCCTTAACCAGAAATATAGGGGAATATGTGACACAAATACAGGCATAGCAAAGAGCAAAGTCAAAGAGACATTGGACCAAATTCAGTTCCCATTATCATAAACTGGAAATTGTCTCCGTTTAGTTTTAATACAGCTAAATATTAAAACAATTCATTTAATATTTGAAGTTTCACATATTCCTTAACCAGAAATATAGGGGAATATGTGACACAAATACAGGCATAGCAAAGAGCAAAGTCAAAGAGACATTGGACCAAATTCAGTTCCCATTATCATAAACTGGAACATGAGATAGAAAAACAGAAAGCATTCCAGGTTTAAGTCAAACTATGGGTCCTAACAGCGAGTCTGGGTATTATCTGAATATTTTGCTAAGCTTTTAATCACATTTTCAATGATTTGTTGGGATAAATATGTCTTGCTATCAGCCATTATCTATGTTCACGAGAATGAGCTTCAAGATTAGAGAGGTCTAATAGAAAGAATATTAGAAAATTTAATTAAAATCATAAGGCAACAAACCTTGTTCTGACTTGCCCAAACATAAATAGGAGGAGGTGCAATCTGAAGTTTACCAAAAAGATCAATTTGGCCGCCAAAAATAATCAAAGCTAGGATTGCCATTTTTGTAATGCCAACAATGTTAGCAACAGTCTGGCGCAGCTGTCCTGGGGGAAAGTTGCCACCACTAATCTGCATTTGAGGAAATCGCTGGTTTATTGCATAAGCATAATCCTCAAACACACGCCTGTACCCTCAGGATATGCTAAAGGAAAAAGTATCAAAAATTACTAAACATCATCTCAAAAACTAAACACATTTGACATATTTTCATAAACCAGGGCTGTTGATAGCCATTATGCTCAAGGGGTAGGGGTGGGAGTTGCTTCAGCCCCATTTGTAATATTGGTAAGCCAATCTTAATTTGCCAACAAGTCTGAATATTTGGGACAAAGCATCCCTGTATGGCAAAAATCTTCTTATTATTGCAATGGAATTTCCTTGAAGAGGGGGGGACACACAACCCAATGACCCACCATCACATCAACCCCATCATAAACCTCTAAAAGCATATTCAGACAAAATCAATGGAGGTACATTTTGATTACTTCATTTTGTCAATCTCTAATCAATCTATATAACAGTAGCATATAAAGACAGAAACAAAATGCCACATTTTCCAGGCACTAAGGCACTAAACCTAAATAGTCCCTACTAACTTTTGGTTATAATTTCAAACTGTGGGGAATTATAGAAAGCATGCATTTAATAAATTAGCAGAAATTAGCAGAAATAAATTAGAAAAAGTGTGGCATTTTGAGCCCCTAGGCTGTTATAGGCGTGTGATGGAGTGCCATTGGTATTTCTCCAAAGGTTTGATATCATTTACTGTGTCCAAATTGATGTTGAAAATATTTTAGATGCAGTTTCCGGGCAATCCCTCTTGCCACCAACCATGATGGCAGCCTTTATGAAACCCTTCAAAAAATTTTATGTTTTGGTCTTTTGACAACAATTTTGACAACAGCACAATTTGATAATGGCACAAAATGTTTCAGTGAAAACTCTTGAAAGAGAACAGTTTTATTGCAAATTTCCCTCTCTTTAAATCCAGAGCCTTTTCATTCTGTTTTCAAGTGTAACACTTGAACATATCATGCCTTTATCACAACCTGCCATTTTTCAAATTATTTTCATTTTCTGTTAGTCACAAAAACAGGCATGCTTTTTTCCGTTTTAAAATGAAAACAATACAACATTAAATAATTTGTGGTATGTGAAAATAATACCCTGAAAACGGGACATCTTGGCCACAAATAAACCATACCACACAACCCCCTCTGGGAATGGTTGTTTAGCGTTGCGTGGTGCATCGCTTACATTTACGATAGGAACTGGACACTGAAATCACCGGCACAGACCTAAAGTGTGCATAAAATCAACCTTTTCAGTATGGGCCATCGGCAAAGGCTTTCACATGAACGCTGCAGCTCCTTAGAGTGATGGATGCCTGATGATCTGGTTACGATATTTCGCACACAACGTGAACCAAATACTACTTGCCTTGATGCTATGGTAATTTGATCAATGTTTTCTTTCATACAAGTGTTGTCACAATAGCTCTTCAAAATGATTATGGTGACCCAGTAAGGTGGACAAGATCGGTGAAACAAAATTTCTTGTTTTTTGTCACCTTATTAGTTTCCAGCACTTTGGTTAAAAAATAATCGAATAATCATAAAACAGGCGTGCAATTAAATTTACATTATTAACACTACAATTTAACATTGATTTACAGCTAAACATAAAATATTTATTTATAAAAGAATATAGTAAGTAACTGTCCTTTTCAACACATTTATACTTTCTTCATTTTAGGCCAATACACCAGGGAAATTATGGAGTCAACGCCAACTATTTCCGGCGTAAACTAATGGATTCCGTCCTTAGCACATGACTTATTTTAGAAATAAAGCATAATTTGCAGACCTAATTGACCAGTATGGATTCCATGGCAGCTACACTCTCACACAATTTTTGTAAAATAACGGGTGCACTCTTGCACGCCCGAAAGATGGGGGTGGTTTGGGTGTGTTTCTTGATGTGGCTCAAATTAAAAAGGTTTTTTAAATACAGCAAAATGACTTTCCAAATTTGTTTGCAACTGAGATTGGAAAAATGTGTCATTCTAAATTAAGTTAACCATTTCAGATCAGGACCACCAAAAATTATCAGTGGGCTTGGGGCCAAACTGAAAATAAAGCTCCTTGCAAGCAAATAGAGCAGAAAATGTTTGCCATCCCGTACTTTAAATTAACTTACAATACATTCTTTGTAGTCATTTTCTTGCAATTGTTTCAATATTACTTTATTTCCATTGTTTCATTGTCATATTTTAATGTGATTTCCATTCTATAAATGGATTTCTATCATTTAACTATAAATCTTTCCTAGACATGAAAAGGCCTTAAGGCAATTTGCCCCCTTATCCCCCTTTCGGTAGCCCTACTTTAGATCATCCTCATGATTAGGATGCTAAAGTTTTTGGCATTTTTATTTAAATTATCTCTTTACTTGCAAAACCTTTAGGAATTTGGATAACAGCCACTGATGATAGTGGTTTGTAAACATAGTTCAACTCTCAATCAAGAAATTCCCTGAGATGTAAAATTGATGTAAACAGGAAAAATGCCATAAAAATGCCATAAAAATGCCATAAAAATGCCATAATTGCTGAAAAATTTGGTGCACACTCAAATGTGCACACTTATTACAAATGCACTCTTGCACTCCTGTCCTGTGCAAAAGCTTGTGCACTCCCGAGATCTCGTCGAAAAGTGCCATGAAATCCAGACTGGCAAATTGATATTGCAGTTTGTTTCAATTATAAATATTACTGAGCATTGAAATTATGTCCCAAATAATCTCGTGCTCTGTTTTTGCGCAAAAGTTTTCATGGGTAACTATATTACGCCCGTACTTCTGTTTAACCATCTAACCCGGCCCGGTCATAAAATGAAATTCAAACGTTCCTCAAGCCACCATCTCTTCAAGTAGTTTAAATCTTTTTAAAAATGAAACAATAAGGTAATCTTTTGTTTGATGATTTAGAGACACGCTGTAATAGACGCTTAGGTGAACCTGTAATAGACACGCTATGGTACATCTGAGAAATTTGGCCTAGTCCACCATTGTCGTCGTGTCGCGCGTTACTCCAAACTTACCAAAATAAAAACTTTATTGCAGGTCCTGCATACTTCTTTTGACTTTGAGGAGAAGAAAAGGAACTCTGTCCTTGCGCTTCTGTTATGCTTTTAGATGAAAATAAATCTTTGATAGTCAGAACTGACAGAAAAGAAAGAGCGACCCCGATCAGCAATCCAGAGTGGGTCGCCATTTTCCTTCCAATTATCAACAATGCATAGTGTTGCCACCACGCATGCCCTTTAAACTACTGCGCAGGCGATTTATTATATGCCGATGCATGTCAGCCAGTGACGTCACCGTTAACAGGGTTTGTTCTCCATACAATTCCCTATATCGAGATACTGAATACAGGGCCGTCGCTAGAGAGGGTAGGGGGTGGCTGGGGGTGCGGCATCCCCCTATAGAAAATTCTTGTCCGCTAATTTTCGAAAAGTAGAGTTTTGTCGGCAAGTTGGAATGATTGCCACGGGCTGGAAGCTGTTTAAGCGCGATGAACTATTTGAAAAAAAGAGGGGAACTCATTGCTCAAAACTTGACTTAGAGTAAAATCAAAAAAAGTACCCTCAGCTAAAGAAAATTACAACGCGTAAAGCGAAGCGATGATTGACTGACGAGAACATCCATTAATAAGACAATCGAGAAGTTGAAAAATGTCTTTTTTGTTGAAAATTGAAAAACTGAAAAATTTGTCTATAGAAAAACGTTATAGATTGTTTTTTCAGTGACACTTCTTTTAAAATAAGCTTCATCCGTTCTGTGGAGTCAATATGTAACACTGTTTAGATCGATTTGTTGAGTCAAATTGTTTTTAGATAGATCTTTCACTCACTGCCCTAGAGGCTGGCATAAATAGATCTGGCCAACTTGAGAAAGCTCAACAGTGATGAAAGCAAGCCTATAACTTTTAAAAACAACAGATCCAATTTAGAGAAATCTAAAATTCAAATAAATGGTTCTGCTATAAAAGAAAGTAAGAATGTTAAACTATTGGGAGTAATACTGGACCAACCACTGAAATTAGAAGAAAATGTTGGAGTTTTTGTAAAGATACTGGGAAAAAGGTAAATGCTCTAGCCAGGATTGCTTCCTATATGGACAGGTCCTTTTTAATGGAACTTTAATATTTTATCATATGTTAATTATTTTCCTCTTATTTGGATGTTTTGCAGTAAGAAAAAGAAAAAGCCGGATAAATCGGATTCACGAAAGAGCAATGAGAATAACTTATGATGATTATGAATCAACTTTTGAACAACTTTTAATAAAGAATGAAACAATAACTTCTCATAAGAAAGTTTACAATATCTTGCGACAGTATTTACAATATCAATACTTTATAAAACGTTTAACAGTTAAGAAACTCCCAAATAAAAACAGCGGAGCCATATTACAAAATAAATGGATTTAATACCGTGTCATAAAGATGTAGCCAAATATGGAACCCAGTTCCAAACGAAATAAAATACTCCCCAAATTTACAAATATTCGAGAAAAAAATCTCAGAATTTTCATCGTTCAATTTGCTTGTTATCTTTGCAAGGAATACATATGCAATATCGGTTATATTCGAATTACATTATATTTAGCGTTGATAATTCAAATTGGTTGGTTTTAATCAGCTGATAAAAATAGAAAAAGGGGAAACCTTTCAATCAGGGTCCATATCCTATCTTTGCTGCGTATCAAACTGTTCTTTGTTGCAAAGTTTCATGCTGTTGTACCAAACAAAGTACGACACAGTTTCCATAATACCGTCTATAAAGGTCTACGGTAATGTACCCCCGTCTCAAAATAGAAACGGGGGCGGTTTTCAGTCAGATTTTGTATCCTATCTTTTTACCGTATCAAACTGCCCCGTGCTGCCAAGTTTCATGCTGTTGTACCTACTTACAGCAAAAACATCGAAACAGCGTCGTGAGAGTGGTCTTGGGCAAATTACCCCAGTCTAGAAATCGCCTAAGAGGGCATTTTTCATTTAGGAATACAAATCCTATCTTTTTCAGTGTTTCAAACTTACCCTAATGCAAAAGTACATGCTGGTATCACAATTTGCACAACTTTTTGACTAACAGTCCTGACTACTATGCCCCTTGTATCTGGGGCTGCTGTCCACTCACCAAATCCAAAAAGGGATTTAGATCTTTCCCAGACCCAAAAAGGTTTCTAAAATTGTTCAACGTCACGTTTCAACAAACAGAATCGACTATATATCCTGGTATCCAACACCATTCCATTACATAGTCCTTTTTCTAAAATTTGGAGCCTCATGTAAGGACGCTGGGGCCTTCAATCACTGTCCCAAGCAAGAATAAGAATAAGATACTTAACTGGAAGATCCAAAATCTGAAATATTTTCTTTTTGGGCTCTCACTTCAATGTTTGCAAGGACATGAGTTTTTTTACTCAAATTCTGGAAAGGAAGATTACTTGAATGCTAATCAAACATATTTGAGAGTATACGTCAAAACAGAGGAGGGGCTCAGCCCCTTTCATCATTTTTGCTTCAATCAGACAAGAACTATATAACGCATAGAAAGCAGTGACAACATATTTGCTCCAGCACGTCTGACATTTTGAACTGAGTAAGAAAAAAGACGAGAAACAACTGGAAGACTTAGATGTATAACAAACTTTATACTCATAGAAATGTAGGCATAATTTGACATCTAATTATAGAATGGAATGACTCACTACTTTTGAAGATTTCTTACTGAGGACATGTTGAACGGTAGGATTTTTTGACTGCTTAATTAGATTGGCTCTGATTGGCTCTGATTTTTTTAACTGCTTAATAATGTGAGTAGATTGGCTCTAGCCTCACACACAGCCTCCACGAAACTCATTTCGAAAACTTTAAAAGCGATGCCATCAAAAAACAATCAGCATCAAAATGTTGTGCCCAAAAAACTTGGTTTTCCCGGCCAATAAAATTCCCACCATGCCCCTGGCTCTGACTCTCCACCTTCGTATTGCTTTTCCACTGTTTGAATCTCATTCCTCATTGTTAGACTTTATTCCTATTCAGGAGAAAGTTTGCTGTAAAACCAACTCTAACTTCTTTCCTATCATCATGTAGCATTTTCTAGATGCTCATTAAAGAGGGAGATATTCGCAGAACTTTAAAGACGTTTTTTTTATTTCAAGCCCTTTTTCCTTCTTCTACTAATTGAATCCAGCTTTATTCTAGTCCAGATTATCCTAGAGTCAGCTGCTCTGTTTCTGACTCTCCACCTTCGTATTGCTTTTCCACTGTTTGAATCTCATTCCTCATTGTTAGACTTAATACCTATTCAGGAGAAAGTTTGCTGTAAAACCAACTCTAACTTCTTTCCTATCATCATGTAGCATTTTCTAGATGCTCATTAAAGAGGGAGATATTCGCAGAACTTTAAAGACGTTTTTTTTTTATTTCAAGCCCTTTTTCCTTCTTCTACTAATTGAATCCAGCTTTATTCTAGTCCAGATTATCCTAGAGTCAGCTGCTCTGTTTCTGACTCTCCACCTTCGTATTGCTTTTCCACTGTTTGAATCTCATTCCTCATTGTTAGACTTTATTCCTATTCAGGAGAAAGTTTGCTGTAAAACCAACTCTAACTTCTTTCCTATCATCATGTAGCATTTTCTAGATGCTCATTTATGAGGGAAATATTCGCAGAACTTTTTAAGACGTTTTTTTTATTTCAAGCCCTTTTTCCTTCTTCTACTAATTGAATCCAGCTTTATTCTAGTCCAGATTATCCTAGAGTCAGCTGCTCTGTTTCTGACTCTCCACCTTCGTATTGCTTTTCCACTTTTTCCATCTCATTCCTCATTGATAAACAACTCAAAATGAATTAAATTTGAACCATGAGGAATTATTGTAAAAAAAGCTAACCTGTATTGTCTAGGATCCTCCTTCGGTCAAACTTGATTTTGTAAATATTTGAGATGCATTTCCTGGCCATCTCTATATTGTCATATCTTAAAAAAATTTTCTTGAATTCGGCCAAAATTCCTAACCATGGTGCCCTCTCAGACATTTTATTAAGCCCCCACTTTATATTCGGTGGCGCGGGCCCTTGATCCTATGATTTGCTCTCTGAGATAATACTTTTATGCTTGAGGGTTTAGCCGTTCATCAATCAATAATGTGGTCCTTGATTGTCGGTGTCATGCAATTTAGTGATAGAGAAACTACAGTGACACTCTACGCAGCCAGATATAGCTCTAGAATTCATACACTATAATGATAAATTCTCGATCAAAATCTGCCGTTAAAGCTCCTTTGCTAGCTACACTCACTCCCTACCTAAAAGTCCTTTAGCTAATGGCATGATTTTCTTCTACCTTTTATCCTACGTCAGAATTAAATTTTATCTTTTACGCCCACATCTACATCCCTGGTGGTAGCTAATGAGAATTAATAGCAATATTCCAAAAGCCTTTTAAGTCTTGAAAGTGTTGCCCGAATAAACTTTGGTGACACACGTAAACTTCACTTGTTTTTTTGGGGGCCTTTTTCGAATAAATTGGCCCGGGCTCTAAATTTGGAGCCAGTTCGCTCCTGGTTGTAGAGATTTTAGATAGTAGCAATCCTTAAAATATCATATCTCAAAATTTGTTCACCGCCAACTAGTGGCTTTCACTAACCCCAGAGCAATACAAATATTTGCCCCCTCCTCACTTTCAACGAAGTTTCCCCGCTCTTTTCATGGTCCTAAGGTTCTGATCTCAGCTACCGCTTAAAACAGTCAATTTACCTTGCTTCTCAACCAATAATCGGGAAAAACATCAACCCTCGTTATGTTCAAAAAACAAGAACCACTTAGATATTTTATGGAGCCCCCCTTGTCAAAATTTTACGACTACATCCCTGGCTACGCAGAAGATTTATAAGAGACACTATTTCACAAGGTAGACGAGGAAAGCAAAAATCAAGGACTAGCCATCAATTGCAAAAAGACAGGCAGTGTGGTTTTTAGTAGAAGGGATAGTCCAAAAAGCAAAACACAATTTGCAGATTTAAAAATCAAGCAGGTTAGAAAAGTTCAGTTCTTTGAGCAGCACATTGACCGATGAGGGAAGATGTAAAGCAAAAAAGGGAAGCTATTCAAGATTTAAGTAAGATACATTTAAACACCATTACACCTATATACGTTGCAATATGCTGTCAAATTAAGTAAGCTAATACACTGATAAACTAAGATACACGATTAAAAATCTGTTGAAAAAACCTGTAAGACAG